AAATCAAATAAATAAATTAATAAATAAAAAATACAAATTTGATATATATTTTTTAACTATATATATTTAAGCTTCAATTAAACATGAAATACATGACAAAGGATTCCCAGAGTACTGCAGGTTATCCAAAGAGACAGCACAGCGGGTGCTGCTTGCCTTGAGGCTGCCACTGTCTGATTGAAACCTATTATGAGTCAGAAAAGGGGGAGGACTCGCTGGCAGGGGGGAGGAGTCACTCGTTCATTCACTTGAGGTTTCGAGAAAACAAATATTCTTTTCAGTCATGACCTTAATTAATGATATTGTGGCCAACGAAACCCCCCGACTTGCTGAAGACCCCTCAGGTGTGTGTGTGAGATCCTCTGAAGTCAGGGCATTTTGTAAGCATATTCTTCTTATTTCTTACAGGAAGACGACTTGAACGGAATCCACATTGTTGCCTTCGCAGAAGAGGATGACCCCGGTAATGTTTTTGGTTCTGGAACTAACTAAATTGTTACAACTAAATGAAAAATTGAGGTGCTTCTGATTTCCTCATGAGAACCTTCTGTCCAGCTCTTACCTCCTCTTGACCTGTGTCCTTCTTCTGACTAGCTTCTGACATCCCCGGAGCTCCTGCTGTCCAGCTCTCACCTCTTCCTGACCTGTTGCCTCTTTCTGACTAGCTTCTGACATCCCCGGAGATGTCAGAAGCTATTCTGACCAGCTCTTACCTCCTTGTGGCCTCCTGACTACCTTCTGACATCCCCGGATCTCCTTCTGTCCAGCTTTTACTTCCTTTTGACCTGTGTCCTCCTTCTGACTACCTTCTGCCATCCCTGGAGCTCCTTCTGTCCAGCTTTTACTTCCTCCTGACCTGTGGCCTTCCTCTGACTACCTTCTGACATCCCTGGAGCTCCTTCTGTCCAGCTTTTACTTCCTCCTTACCTGTGGCCTTCCTCTGACTACCTTCTGACATCCCCGGATCTCCTTCTGTCCAGCTTTTACTTCCTCCTTACCTGTGGCCTTCCTCTGACTACCTTCTGATATCCCCGGAGCTCCTTCTGTCCAGCTCTTACCTCCTCTTGACCTGTGTCCTTCTTCTGACTAGCTTCTGACATCCCCGGAGCTCCTTCTGTCCAGCTCTTACCTTTTTCTGACCTGTTGCCTCCTTCTGACTACCTTCTGACATCCCCGGAGATCATTCTGACCAGCTCTTACCTCTTCCTGGCCTGTTGCCTCCTTCTGACTACCTTCTGACATCCCCGGAGATCATTCTGACCAGCTCTTACCTCCTTGTGGCCTCCTTCTGACTACCTTCTGACATCCCCGGATCTCCTTCTGTCCAGCTTTTACTTCCTCCTGACCTGTGGCCTTCCTCTAACTACCTTCTGATATCCCCAGAGCTCCTTCTGACCAGCATTTACCTCCTCTTGACCTGTGGGCTTCTTCTGACTACCTTCTGAGATCCCCTGAGCTCCTTCTGACTTGCTCTTCCTCCTCCTGACATGTGACTTTGTTCGGAATACTTTCTGACATCCCCGAATATCCTGATTTTACATCTTCCTGACCTGTGGCCTCCTTCTGACTCTCCTATGATCTGCTTCAGACCACATCCTCACCTGCTCCCAGCCTGGTTCTGAGCTCCTTCTGACTTGCTTTGGACCTGCTTCCCCTCACTTCGGAGAGATTTAACCTCCCTTCCAATTGTGTCTCCGGAACAGGAAGTGGAGTCTACCCAACCAGGACACATACACAAAACCCAAGTTATAAGCCTTCCCTGTCCTAGTTAAAACCAAAAAGAAACTTTTTGGCCTTGAGGTGCATGTTAAGTTCCTCATAGGTGAAGGACGTTGTAGTCTAACCGATGGGTCTTTTTTGAAACAGATGGTTATGAATTCTTGGAGATCATCAAGGAGGTCGCAGAGGACAACACCAACAACCCCGACCTCAGCATCATCTGGATTGACCCCGAGGACTTCCCACTGGTAAGAATGCAAAATTAGGAACCAATATTTATGAGGCTCTTCATAGAAATTGTTCATGGGGCCGGTGACACGGCATAGACAAGAGTTCTTACTTGCTCGCACAAGCGAGCGGGGGGTGCCTCCTCCTTCTGGAGACTGGCGAAGGCTCCTAGGCAAGGGGGGGCGACAAAGGCTCCATTCTAGTAGAACCTACGGGAAGGACAACACAACCGTGGCGTTCGGTTGACAATAGCTGGACGTCGTGTCCCCAGCGGGTTTTTTTTTGGCAGGCTCTGCGTCCTCTCGGAGTGTGGGAATGGCAAGCGAGGGAGACGTGAGTGAAATTTGTGCACCGTTTAATGAATTCCCCTTTTCTTTCCCTTTCAGCTGATCCCCTACTGGGAAGAGAAGTTCGGCATTGACCTGTCCCGCCCTCATATCGGCGTGGTGAATGTGTCTGATGTAAGTAAGAACAGGGTGCGCTGGCGTCTGTGGTGGCACTGCCAGGTTTTTTTAAAATGACATGACTACAGGCTGACACCCGGAGCCGCTCTGGTGGTCCTTGGTACACTGTAGTTCATAGTGACAATTTCCCTAAAATAATTCCCATAATGTTTATATTTTTAATTCCTTACCTAATTTTTTTTAAATCTTTAATTCCTTACCTAATTTTTTGACTCTATAATTCCTTACCTAATTTTTTTTAATCTTTAATTCCTTACCCACATTTTTTAAAAATCTTTTAGTTCCTTACCTACATTTTAAATCTTTAATTCTTACCTAATTTTTTAAATCTTTAATTCCTTACCTAAATTTTTTTAAATCTTTTAATTCCTTACCTACATTTTTTAAATCTTTAATTCCTTACCTAATTTTTAAAAATCTTTTCATTCCTTACCTAATTTTTTTGAATCTTTAATTCCTTACCTAATTTTTTTAATATGTAATTCCTTACCTAAATGTTTTAAAAGCTTGATTTCCTTACCTAATATTTTGAATCTTTAATTCCTTACTTAATTTTTTTAATCTTTTAATTCCTTACTTAAATTTTTTAAAATCTTTAATTTCTTACCTAATTTTGGAATCTTTGATTCTTTACCTAATTTTTTAAAATCTTTAATTCCTTACCTAATTTTTTTAAATCTTTTAATTCCTTACCTAATTTTTTTAATCTTTTAATTCCTTACCTAATTTTGTAAAAATCTTTTAATTCCTTACCTAAATGTTTTTAAAATCTCTAATTCCTTACCTAAATCTTTCGTATGCTGTTATGCATCTTTTGGAGCTGGGGAACAGCCCGTTGTATCAGCATGAACGTAAGGCTCCGGGCAGCAACTCCGTTGACCTCTCACCAAGAGAAAAGAGACAGAGAAAGGAATTTTCTTACATAAGCCTAACTGTGTCCAGTTCTCTTAATGGAGATAGTCCGCCCAAACTTGATAGTCCGCCCAAACTTGATAGTCCGCCCAAACTTGATAGTCCGCCCTCCTTACCTAATTTTTTTAATCTTTTAATTCCTTACCTAATTTTGTAAAAATCTTTTAATTCCTTACCTAAATGTTTTTAAAATCTCTAATTCCTTACCTAAATCTTTCGTATGCTGTTATGCATCTTTTGGAGCTGGGGAACAGCCCGTTGTATCAGCATGAACGTAAGGCTCCGGGCAGCAACTCCGTTGACCTCTCACCAAGAGAAAAGAGACAGAGAAAGGAATTTTCTTACATAAGCCTAACTGTGTCCAGTTCTCTTAATGGAGATAGTCCGCCCAAACTTGATAGTCCGCCCAAACTTGATAGTCCGCCCAAACTTGATAGTCCGCCCAAACTTGCCATTTCAGTAATGGTTTATTGGGAATTCGGTGCAACCACCCTCTAACATCCCCACCTTGAAGCCAAGATCTCACAGCTCTTCACTGTGCGAACAACATTCGCTACGCTGCATGACCACTAGATGGAGCTGAAGAGCATCGGAATTCCTATGCTCTTGGGCTCCACCTAGTGGCCATGCAATGCAGTGAACCTTGTTCGCACAGTTTACAATTCAGTCTCTAAAGTGTTGCAGGGCAAATGGTCCCGAAGTGAAGGAGTTTTGGGCAGACAGAACCTTTTAGCGTGGACCTTTCAGTACCTTTACATGAAAACATTCCTGACAAGTCACAATATACAGCAACGGTACCATATTTGGATAAAGTTCCACCTTTTATCAATAAAAAGGCCACCCATGAGCTCCTATCAGTATCTTTGCCTAGGTTGAGATGATGTCATCAGCAGGAAGCATTTCCTCAGTCCCCCCTCCCCCAGTGATCAGTCTGCTGCAGGCAGGAGGAAGCATATGCTCAGTCTCCCCTCCCCCAGTGATCAGTCTGCTGCAGGCAGGAGGAAGCATTTCCTCAGTCTCCCCTCCCCCAGTGATCACACTGCAACATTGTAACTTTGCAACGAGCGACTTAGTAAGAGCTTGTGCCAAGATCTGACCAGGCACCAGGATTGACTCCTGCGTCATCTCGGAGTCCAGGAAGTAGAGGGTGACCCTGGGTGATGCCTGAACAAACATGGCGTTCCCCTTCAAAAAAACACATGGAAGCATTGTCAGGGGGAGTCATGTGATCTCTGAGACTGGTTGACGAATACCTGGAAGTGTTACTCTGATACATTACCTAGAATGCTGCACTTGACGTAGAGCAGTGGCGTAACAATCGCCATAGCGACCCATGCGGCCGCTATGGGGCCCGGGCACAGTGGGGCCCCGCCAGGGCATCCCTCTGATGCCGTGTGGGCCGCCTGGGTCGCTATGGCATGTAAGGGTGCTGGCTGTCACTGACACAGCTCATCAGCGGCGTTTCCCCTCACAGCCGCTGAGGGTTAGTCAGTGACAGCCAGCAGCTACGGCAGAAGAGGCCGGCGTTCGCAGTAAAGGAGGAGGCGGGCCTCCTTTTACATCACTGGCCAGCGACCTGTCGATAGAAGAGGAGGCGGGGCCCGGGGACGGAAGAGGAGGCGGGGCCCCGGCGACCACGGAGGTAGACAGCGCTGACAGGTAAGAGGTGTGCAGCCCATCTGAGACCCTGCAGAACCCACTACAGAGAGTCTATGGCGGGCTCTGCAAGTGGCATAACTAGCAATCACGGGGCCCCATACAAAATTTTGCTCTGGGGCCCTGTGATTTCTAGTTACGCCCCTGACGTAGAGGAACACATCTGATGACGCACCTGACGAAGAACGTTTCTGACGTTGGTGAATCATCTACTGGAGAAGGGTCACCATGACCAATCCTCATCGATTGCTCCCGGTCTCCTAGCCAGAGCGACGTGACACTCCTTTCCCGTTCTTGTCGTGTTCCCCGCGT